AATGAGGTGGCTATTGTATGGTAATATTATCCATGCATAAAATCCTCAAGGCTAAAACAACGTTAATTAACTCTCCATAGTTCGTTAATTACAAGTAGGCTTATGAAAGAGCAAAGTGAATTTTAATTTCACTTCCATTTTATTACTGTGTGATATGAAAAATTTCTGGTCAATTTGTCTAACAATATCTAATTCATTTTGTTGCAAAAAAAATCGAATTGATAAATATAAATACATTTAATATTGAGCTTAAGTTTTCTTTTAATTTAAAACATGAATTTTTCATGGCGCTTATTTATTTTTTAAAAGTTAAAAATTACTTCTGAAAAGTTCAGGAAGGACTCTAATTTCGATGTTTCATCTATTTTTAAAAAACAATAAAAATAAATATTTACATATGTGACTTTCATTGCAACTAATATCATATTCAATTAGATAGCAATAAATCAATTTTTTATTTGTTATTATCATTGAAGCAAAAGTAAAATTTTTCAAGCACTGATTATATTAATTATCACTTTTAAAATGGATAGAACAAAATTTAATTTATGAGAAATGAAGTGATAATTTGATTTAATTCAATTGAAAAGGAGAACCATTATCATCTAAATCAAACGATCCGAATTTTTGATCATTTAAATCACACAATTCTGATCGTTCAATCAATTAAGCCATTAATTAATTAATAAGTGCTAGATGTTATTAAGTGTTTTTTTATTCCTTCCGTTTTTTCGTTTCTTAAATTCAAATCCGATAATACCGAAATATTTAGTATCTCCTAAATTAAGCCTTTCAAATAATGAAAATAAAAGTATTTGAATGAATTAGGTAATTACTAATCAACTATTAAAACAAAGTTTATTTTTTTATTTTGCTCCGTATCGGTATCATTTTTAAAAAAAATTTGATGCTTTTTGTTTTTTGAATTAAATGAGCAAATTATAGAGAACGCATTTAGTATATAATTAATAAACAAAATAAGGATGTGCAAAAAAAATGAAATCAAATACTTAAACAGAGGTCAATCGTTGTTTTGAAAGGTAAATCTCTAAAATAGAAATATTAGATATTGACATTTTTCCTTATCAAAAATTGTTAAGTTTTTCTTTTCTATTACAATTTAATTATTAATTCATAATCTAATCGTTGAAGATACAATTGCTACATATTCATATTGCTTTAAATATAATATAAATTGTAATTTAAAAGCAATCGATAAAAAATTTGTTTAAAAAGAGGAAATATCATTCATAGCTTTTGTTGTGTAAAATTAAAAAGATGAAGATAATTATGGCTGCATAAGTTTGTGTCTGAAATGTTTTGAAAAAAGCTTAAGGATTAAATCTGCATATCATTAAGCTACGATACATATGTATGCATGCCTAAATGCTCTAAATGAGAAGAAGAAGCTTTGCTAGATTGCCTTTCTCAATTGAGAATATAAACGATTTTGCATTATGCCAAAGGATTGAAAGTTAAGGGTAAAGAAGTGAAAGAATAGCTTTATAGTTGCAGCTTTTTCGAGATTCCGTTCATTTTTAACATTAAAAAAAGAAAGATGAATATTTTAAATGACAGATTGCTTTTTGATTACAAGAATTTTCATCCGATCGATTTAATGATAAATCAAAAATGCTATCGATGAAGTTGAACTCTTTATATGAGAAGTGAAGCAAATGCTAATAACATGCAAATTCATGAAATTAAATAAAATCTATTTAAAAGCAACTTCCGGAGATCTAGTTCACGACTTAATTAGCTAAGGGTAAATCTGAAGAAAGTGCATAACATATTTTTAGTCTTACTTCTCTTTACCGTATCCAAATTCAAATATCTAGCTCTTGTTGTTGATGATGATTTTGTGAATGGAGATAGAGTGCTAGGAAATTTCCGCAATCCCCTTTACTCTAACTAAAGGAGATTGCTTTCGTTTTAAGACCTACACTAAAACTCGATTTTCTCTTCAATCATCATCAACAATAGCAACCAGCACCGCCATCTATCATCATTTTCCTGTCCACCAAATCCAAACGATAATCCTGTTAATTAGCTTTTTATGTCTCCTCTTGCTACTCTTTGCTATTGAAAATCGACCAAATCATCTTTCTACAATGAAAATTTCACGTTAAAAACAAGAAGTTAGTAAATAGATGTTATTATAAAAATTAATTATATTCCATTTTACTACGTATAACAACATGAAGTACGTATATCACATATACATTACATACACAACTGAGTGATTTTTATCTTCCTTTGCTAGACTGATTTAAAAATGTTGACCCATTTTAATATACAACTTTAGACTGTATGTAACAATACACAAATATTAGAGACAGTCATCACCCGTTGATCGATTTTGGATCACGAGAATATATTCCGTTTCGCTTCTATTAAACACGATTATGCTAAACTATTTATTCCCAATTAAATTTATGAATTATATTTCTATCAAACGCTGATTGTTAGTTTGTACATTCTACTTTCTTCATTATACCCTTCTATTGTTTACTGAAGAATATCTACCCCATTTAGTTGATATAAATAATATCAAGAATGCTTTATCTATATCATGTCCTCACTCATGTTAAACTCGTATCTTATAAATAATCTTATAAACATTTCAAATATTATCATTCATTATACAAAATCAGAAGATACTTTAGTGCAACATTGCAGATACCTTCATCGCATTATTACAATCGGTGTGAGTTTAACAGCTGTCTGAATTCTTTTGAATAGATTCTGAAGCACTTCGAACCAAATGAAACGATATCACAAAGCTCATAAATTTGGAAAGAGCATTCATTCCGTTAATCTCTCTTTAAAATTTCGAGGAATAGATTAGTTAGAGTAAACGAAAGGCTGGCACTATTTGGAAATCAGATTTTGTTTCGTGAATCCTAAGCAATGCCGCAAATTAATTCGTCAGCTGAAGCAAAATATGATAAAAATTATTTTTCTTTTTGCCATATTTATGAGTTTGTCGGTGTGTGTGTGTGTGTGATTGTATGGAATTCAATCTTCGCTGTACTTGGGGATTCATAAATGAAATTGAACTTTTTCACGCTACTCACCGATATTTCTCAAATGTGTGCGATTGGAATCAAGGGCTGCAGGAAGAATTCCTGGAATGATTCATTAACCAACGAGCTGGTAGTTAGTCTTTCCAGGAAAATGAAACAAACAGCTCTCAGGTTTCACATTCCCAACCACTCTCTACAAAAGACGACGATAACACGGTGATGAACGCAAGCCCTAATTGAAGTTATACAAACTTTTGCATATAAACTTCAACACTACACATGACAATTCCAGAATTTTGATGAAACAAATTTCACACCTTCATCTCTATTTCGCAACTCTTCCTGAATGCATCCACTTACCTGTACGTCTGTCCTTATATTATATATGCGTGTATTTGTCTGTTATTCTGCGTCTAACATTATTTGAAATTCATCAATGAAAAGCAGCCTAATATTTTGATGTTGGCCGAGATAGATCCTTCACATCAATATATCAGAATCAATAATCATAATAATAACAATAATAATATTCGTTAGAAATCAATGAATTCCAGCAATCAGGACAGAATATACAAAAGCAATCAAGCAAGAACAATATTCTATTTCTTTCTTTTACCGTATATTTCTTCTCAAAAAGAAAAGCTGACTGAAATAAAAATTCCTCTGCGGTCAAAAAGAATAAATGATACAATTACAAAATAACAGCGATCTCTAAAATGCTTTTCTTATTAGCAAGCTTCTAGCCATAGTCTCTGGTCTCAATCGCCTTCCTATACAAAAGGGAAAGGAAGCAAAAAACTTCACAGAGCTTTATATCTATTAAAAATGCTGAAAAAAAATGATATAGATATCCATCCTTCCGTGATTTAATAGTTCTCTAATCACAATTTGTTTTCAGTTTAAGCTCTCATTACTGATATTTATAAAACGATCAGAAAAGATAAAGATGTGGATATAGGATATTGTTTTTAATCTTTATTTCTTAATATACATTATCGAACAAAGGATGAAATATTCTCAAGCTTATTGCCTTTTACTAATATGTGTTATGAAGCAAAATTATTCTTCGTAACATGATCACTATCTATTGAGCACTTGTAGACGGAAAGAAATTGAATCTATTCTTCTTAGAATGAATAATCCCTTAATTATTGATGCATCTTAACACTTCATTGTTACGATCTAAAAAAATATCTTATGAATGATATTGTCATATTAATAAACATGAACGCAAGTTATAAATAACAGAAATATTAGCATGAATATACAACAGACTTTATATGGATACATTGCATGCTGGTTACGATCGAGCACTAATAATAATTATCACGATGAGCTTGTACGCTGCGCATAACTGTACGCATCGGCATTTTACGTGAAACAAGCGTGCAACAAACTTATAATACAATTGGTTCACTTTACATATGCATATCTGGCAATAACAATAATACTGATCGCAGCTAGAGTAATAATAGTGTGGAGAACAAAAATGATATTATTGTTTTGATCACGATGAAGATGAAAATTAAGAAATGACACATTAAAACTCACTAGAAAAATAAAAAACAAACCTGGGAATCTGAATAAAAATTCAGGCTCTAAAATCCGAAGTTTTCATATGATGGGAAAATAGCACATCTCTTTGACTCATGAAATTCCCATCCTTATTCCATTTCTTTTAAATTTGGACTGAAACATACCTCACCAATTTTTTAGTCCGATCAAATAGGTATTTTCTTACTTAATATAAGTCGCAATAACATGAAAGAAGAGAAAACATCGGATATTTGCCTTTGCGACATGAAAGAAAGAAAAACCTCAGATATTTGCTTTTGTGGCATGAAAGAAAGGAAAACCTCGGATGTTATTCCCTTCCCAGCTTACAATGACATCTCAAAATATATTTACACAATTCAATTAAGGATGAGAGTTTTGTTACCAGATGAAATGCAGTACATACTAAATAAAGAATTATTAAAGCAAGCATGTAAAATAATTAAGGCCTTGTCCGAGTTCCCAAATACCTATCCCAACATTAAAGTGACTGGCTAAATCAAGCCTGCTTTGCAAAGATGTCACTGTTGGATAAATGCAAAAATTTTTGTCCCTGAAAGCAAAACAATCCATAAACTAATAATATAATATTTCGAACAGCAACTATTCAGTTTAATTAAATCATTTTATTTAAGAAAAAGAATAAGACAACTACATCAATCCTAAAAATTTTTACCATATCTCCAATATTTTTAACGATATAAACTAAAACCACCCTTCTTCCACTAAAAAAGTCTCTGTGCAAGTATCTGTCTTAAGCGATAACTTGAACAAGAGCCAAGATTCTTACAGAACACTTTCTTAAATTGAATGGATATTGAACCTCGAAAGAATAGCTTTAGGGGGAGATTCACATTATCTTATATTACCAACCTTCGTGAATTGAAATTATAGTGGGAGAGTATTTACTTGGAACTAACTGTTAGATATTCCAGAAAATTTTTGAGTCAGACAAAACTCTTCCGACTGTTTTACAAATCTAAAACTAAAGTAAGCATATAATTTAAATGTTACCAAAGAGCAAACATTACTTTATTTTGAGAAAATGTTCTTTCGTTATGGAATTCCAAAACAATGCTTCTGGTCGTGCAGCTATGTATTTGATAAAGCTGAAATATAACTGAACATGTCTGCCTTTTTTGTACTAACACTCGTTGAAAAAAATTCAGAATAACATTTCGTTAATAAATAGGCATTAGATATTACAAGTAGAAATATCAAAATCAATTTGGCTTCAAATAGACTAACCGCTTTTACAGCATTCAAATTAAGAAGCATAGTCATGGAAATTTGAAGCTGTAGTTCGAATTAAACTAAAAAACTTCAAAACTCACTCTCTGCCAATAACAGCTTTGATAGCAGATTGCTGGGAAGCATAGCCATAAAAATTAAGCCCCATAAGAAGTTTGGATGAACTAATCGATGAATCCGACAAAATATATTCAAAATTGCGCTGAACCCATTCAAATGGTGACACTCCAACGAAACTGAAATATTAAGTATAACACATTTTCTAACAATCATTTGATTTTGGATATTTTGAAGGGAAGAAAAAAAAATAAAACTTTAGAGCGATACGGTCAGAAACAAAAATCCAAGACAAGGTGAGTTAGTACTGTTTATGAAGTATACAATAAAATATTTTTTCCTAAACTTCAAGAGTCATTCATTGAATTGTTGTGTTTTCGACATGCTTTTAGTCATATCGTACTTCGAAAACTATCTGCTGCTATTTTGATTAGGCTGGCGATCTGTTATGATAACAAAAATAACAAATAGATTCTGTAAAAGCTACTGTTTTCTCATCTTGCAGTCTTGTCTGGAGTACTTTCTTTTCTTTTACATCTAATCACTGATTCTCAGTTTTCTTTTATGCTGAAATCAGTGATTATAAATGAAAATGAAAAGCAAATACTCCAGACAAGATTGCAAGCTTATCAGTACGAACTTGATTGATCCTTTTAAAAGTCCAACATATTTCGTTTAAGACATTTTCTTAAATGTTATAAAAAATTAGACAACAGTTTTCCAAACATAGATTCTGTTCTTAAATTAAACCATTTATCAAAACAATTTTCTTTCACACTCACCGATCAGCACTGTAGTCATATGTCATCACATTGACATAGTCGACATCACGTATTATTCTCGATAATTCAGCCTTCATTACAAACCCGAATGGCTCATTTCTGAAAACCTATCATTTTGCTTTCACTTCTAAAACGAACAAGAAAGAACTCTAAAGGATTAGAGATTCACTAAAAAATCAAAACAACGATTAAAAGTCAACGCTCGATATTTGGACAAGGAAAATATTTACTTCCTCGTATTCATAATGACTTTGTATTGTTTCATGAAAATTTTCACAATTCTACCAGTATAATAACTTCGTTGATCCAAATCTTTGAAGGAACTTAGCATAAAAATTTGATATATTGCTAGAAAGTGTAGCTCTTGAAAAACACAGTTCTGATTTTTTTCTTCCAAATAGATTTAAATCATGAACTGTGAGCGCTTTTAACAAAGCCTTTCCAGTTAAAAAGAAACACGTCAAATCAAACGATTTCAAGATTATAAAATGGAATATACTTGTCATTGAGAGGTGCAGGAAGAGGCACAATAATTTCAAGATCAGCCTGATGGAAAAGTTCTGCCCAGTGTGAAATCAATTCGACCAGTTCCCTGTAAGTTACTTATTTTCATTGGAAAAAATAGCAAAAACAATGTAATTGGACTTCAGGAACTGTTTAGTTTTGGATGAAAAATTTCTTGAGATTTGCCCTCTATAAAAGGTCGTCAATGATTATTTGCATAGCAAGATATCAGTCATGAACAAAACTAATAGCTACTACCTATTTTTCACTTCCTATAATGCTTCAATTTACAATTCAATAGAAAAAACACCAATAGAAGGAAGAAAAACCTACTCACTCTTTCACTTCTGTTTGAACCAACGACAAAACTTGAAGCCACACTTCTATGACTGCCCCGTGCATCTTGTTTTTCTGAAAACAAGATTTTGGTTAAGATTTTGAAAATACTGCACTGAAAGTCTTAAGCGACTATGTATCCATTGAAGAACAGCACACTGCATTCATATATTGTCGTCCAGCACTGAGTATGTGAAAAATATAACAAGAACTTCCTTCTCACATTTTGATACCACAACTAGACTCTACACTACTTCAAAAATACAAAGATTTTCCTGCAGAATGGATAAACGTCAATAACTATGGACTGGTTTTGCCTTTCAAGTTACATAAAATTGATAAAAAACTTTCCAAACGTCACAAGACTAACTTAGGTATTTCACAATGGAACATGGAATGGTTTAACTGATTAAAACTGGAACCTTAATGAAATTGACAATTAGCTGAGCACAATTTGTTTGCCATTTTTCGTCATATAAAAATCGTTCAATATTTCCATGTGCTGATCCATCGATGACAAAACGTGGCACAAACTTGATTTCTGAATTATTTGTATGAACTGCAGCCAACCATTCTAAAACAAATTTTATCAGTAGCATGTAAATCTAACAATCCTTCAAAAAGATTAAGATTAATAACAATTATCCTTCACAAAAATTCGAGAAAAATGGATTAATGTACTTACTGCTAACACTTATTATGTGACACATTATCAACTTATTAACGGACATTGCTACCTTTCTACATAGACTGAAACAATATTCAACTTACGTATATCCATATCGTGAGTTCCAAGTATAGCACATGTTTTTTGTTGTTTTACTTCAGGTTTAAACTGAAACCAAACAGGAGAGATGTGAGTGAATTTTCGAGCCACCCATTTGGCAATGTCATATCCACCATTATTCCACTACAAATTCTTGGAACTTTATCCATGTTATAAGTAAATATTCCTTTAATGTCCTGTAAGCCGATATTGAATTCCATACTTCTTTGCTTCTCCTTCCCTAACCCTCCCTCTTTCAGTTATTTTTTTTCTTAAAAATATGGTGGGATTTACAAAACTTTGTAAGAAGGATAATAAATATATAAAAATTGGAGGTTGGTCAGATAACCTTTGATCGAAATAAGAGAGAAATAAAAGAAAATTCCTATACCAAACGTTTATCGTCCAGCAAACTTACTGCTAACAAAATTATTGGATGCTATAGATGGTAAATTTATGGAAGCACAATTAAAGATGTATTTTAAGTTTATACTCAAATTCCGCGCAAATCAATCCTTAACTTTAAAAATCTGCAAAATGACAGAACCTTTTAAGTCAGCCGAAACACTTTAAAATCAAAACTTACCGGTGTAACATACGCCAATATAGGATGCTTGAATTTCTTCTCCTCCATGCATAACTTATGATGGTTGCTAAGTATATTTGCAACAGTGACCTTCTCGGCATTGTCCTCGAAATGCTAAAGTAAAAAACGGATATTATCGTAACTTGGTAAGAGGAATAGTTTCTTCGAGCAGCATATTTAATTTATTAGTAGTATATTTAAGTTAGTGCGAGGAATACTTTTGTCGAGTAGCATATTTAATTTATTACAGCAGTTTAGTATTTCGATAACAAAGTTCTCAGAAATTCTTTTTCTCAAAGCTTTAGTATACAATGCATCAGAGAGAACAAAGTGCCAAACAGTTTTTCCGATTTTCCATTAGGTAGGAAAAGTTACTTGTGACTGCTTCATAACGTTGCTTTCCTCTTTTTGCTTTTGTTTCGCTCCATGAAAAATTTTCGACTTCTCTTTCCGATCTGATTTTGAAAGGGTGCCATAGGCTGTCGGGCAGAAAATTAGAACCAAAAAGACTATACACTCTGGGAAACGTCGATTCATCCACAATATCCTCTAATTGAATAATTCCAGACCTTCTTGGATGTCTTAGAAGTATAACATCATCACAATGTAAAAGCACTGAAATTATTTCCTGAATATTAACTTTTCAGATAACCTAATATTCCTTTCATTCGACAGAGAGAGAAAATTATTCCTTGCTTCATTCCACAATTAGCTGCCATGAATTCAAAATGGCTAATCAAACAAAACTACGAAATCCCAAGTATTTCAACAGAGAGGAACTAATTTTATTCTACTAATATTATTTTTTAAAGAAAAGTGTATGAATTATAGGCGAAAAAAAAAGCAGAAAATTAGTATTCAAATGCTGGAAATAAAGATATGGAAGAGGAGTAAGAGTGAATATACTCTCATATATTCAAAATGTTTATAATAAAATCGAAATAAGCTATCTTCAATTGGATAGGACTCTGCAAAAGCATTTATTGAGAATGGATATTCGTCGCATGATAAGCTGTAATTTAAAATTACAAGAAGTTCTATCTCTTATTCATTTAGCTCAGGCAGCAATGGCTTGACTTGACATTTATCGAAATGACAATGAAAGGAAATCTTAATAAATTACTGGAACATGAGACCGGTGAAATACTATGAGCACCGAACATAGACGAGACTGGCAAAACCGGTCAAGAAACATCTGGATAACCGAATCGTACTGCTACTAATCAAGACGAATCGAAACAAGATATTAGAAAGTGAGAAAATGAGAGAGATGAGGAGACGGAGAGAAACTAAAAAGATTCACAACACAATACTGCTGCAGACACTCAGAAATTTCGAAAAAACCGATTGCTATAATGGCAACAGAGAATGAGAAAAAAAAATAAATAATTGAGAATGAGAGGCAACAGAGAATGAAGGGAGTGTTGTGTAGACGTATAACGTCGAATTAACTGCACTTCCCGGTTAACAACGGTTATTATTATTGCTACTACTATTATTAATTAGACATTCGAATTAAATTCCTTCTTTGTTACCATTTTAACTTCGGAGCTCATTTTCAGAATTCCGGCGATAACACAAACTGTGCCACTCTTAGAGAGATTTGCCTCATCTCAGAAGTATCTAAGTAAATAATACTTTTGTACAGTTATTCAGCAGTATAGAATTTCCTTGAAAACTTGAAGGAAGCTAACTTTGAAAGGCACAAAATGGATATATCTGAGTCAATTTGCCATTTATCTGTATGGGTGTAAATAACACTGAATTGCAGAACTCGGGAATTGTTTCATTTCAATCACACACGATGTTTGTAAAGATACCTTTAAATTGATGCAATCGAAAAGTAGAATTTTTGAATTTTAGAAAATTTTTCTGAAGAATTTATAGGAAGAATAAGAACAGAAATTTCTCTCAATTCTGTAGAAATATCGTCTTCCATATCAAAATTTTGAAAATGAATAATTACATTTTAGGCATTCCCAAAAATGCCTAAAATGAACAAATGAAGTTTCAAATTCGAGCCATTTCGAAAAAAGAAACTTTCCTTCAAGATAATGAAAAATGTTTGTAAGACATGTGGCGCTATCGTATAACATTCCTGACTAAAGTGTTCGAAATCAAAATGAGTAAATTTTTTTTGAAGAGAAGACAGCAATTTCTGCCAATGTTTATTTTAAATGCTTTGTTGAATTTAAATGGAATTTATCTTTTCCATATAGACATTGTGTTTTGAGCGAAATGATCACATGAAATTTCTCTGTTAGATAGCATTATTTATTACAGCTTCTAACTTTGTTGTTATTTGATATAAACGGCCTAAAATTCTCTTGCAAGAAAATAAATGATTGGAAGCTGATATGTTAGTTGCTCGATCCCTGCTCAACAGCTTTCATAATTTTATAGCTTTCCTTTTCTTTCTTTTCAGTTTAAGACACCCAACAATCTCAATTTCGTATTTTTTACATATTGATGTATATCAAGAGAGAGAGGGAGAGAGAGAGAAAAAAAAGATTCTAACTTCTTGCAGTGGTTTATTTGATAGTTAACTGTGACTAAGTCATATCAAAAAACAACGCTGCAGTAATATGTAAGGCTTCTTTTCTCAACAGAAATTTTCTCTGTTGATAATACAAATTATAGTTGATAGTGATAAAGAATCGAACCGTTCAAATTATTAAAAGAAATTTTTTCTTAATGTATTTAGGAGAGGGAGAAGTGTAAATGGATGAAATAGGAGATGAGAAGAGGAAGAACGAAAGTGGAAGATAAATTTTGTAAAAATGTCGGAATAGTTCAAAAGGGAATTTCCTACTAAAATTCCTAAAAATCTTTTAAAAAAAACTTTTTTTTCAGTTCCTTTTTTCATCTCTGAACCCTAAATTCCTGAAAATTGCCTAAAATTTCCTATATTTTCTTATTTTAAAATGTATCTTCCCTACTAAAATACTTCAAATTAACGTTTCTTTCTAATTAATAAATTAGCCTAAATGACAGTTTGTTAACAGTTGGATAAAAATACAAATTGCTAATTAAGCAGTATGAATGGAATGGAAACCATTAATGAATTGAGTAGCAATATATATGTAATCGTATAAGTAATGATTTATTAGATTTTTTGATTAAAATTTATTTCCATAATATTTTCTACCGTAACTAACATCACCTTCAATATTAGAAATTATTATTTAACTGATATTATTGATAACCAATATAAATATTTGCATTAAGAAAGATCATTGAGTTTGGTGATAATGATGACAGCGGGGGGGGTTCTATTTGTTTCTCATTAAAATTATATGCCATGAGATGTCACACTTCCTCGTATGAAAACAAGTAATGAAATTGCTTGCAATTGCAAATTATAACAGATTATCTGAATGATTCATAGCCAACAATGATTTATCATTGATTGTTATCAGGTGCTAGTTATCAGTAAATGGGAATATCAGCTATTTTAAATTGTGTTATAATATGGATTTTGTCAGAGAACATAAGGAATGACACTGAAAATTTATTAAATTTCATCTATTACTTTGCTACATTTTGCAAAAACTTACTTTTTTGTTTTTTAACGAAAAATTGCATTCTGTGAAGCGCATTGAATATGACCTCAATATGTACATTTCTGATAAGTCAAAGAAGATAATATCTTGGAGGTCCGATCAGATGTGATATAGAACCAGCCAGTTTAATTTGATATCCTCTCATTTTACTATATCTTCCTATTAGTAGTAATAAAATAACCATTTCATTGTTTAAAAATGAGATACTACAGGTAAATATAAAGAAAAAAAATTAACGGAAATTTAATTTTGATTCTTAAATAGTATAAAGAGAGGAATATGATAACATACTCTTAACTTCATTATTTGTTGATTTTTTGAAAATAAAATGTATTCCCTCTTCCATTTATTTTCTTCTCAGCCATTTTATACACCTCACTATATTTTCAACATTTAAAACATTTTTTTTTGATAAATAATGTTGTGCCATATGTATAGAATTTCATTTGTCAATATTTTTAAAACAATAAATATTTAAAGTTAAGCGTTTCGATGAAAGAAACGTTTAAAAGTTGCAAAAAAAGTGTAAACACATTGCCTCTTAATTGCATTAATTTCTTTTCTTAAACAATGTTTTTGCAATTTTAACAAAAATATATGAATTCAGATCATTTGCATATATTAGTTTCACTCGTAAGTGGCCTATTAGGTTCATTATTTAAATTTCTTATTTTGGATTTTTTTATTACTTCTGATAAAACTATTCGTTATATTTGCTATAGTCATTGATTTTCATGCTCAAAATAATGTACTAAAAATGTCACGTACGTGTTTATCATTTCTCTTCTTTGCAGGTCACGCACTTAATAAAGTGCAAAAATTAATGAAACAAATTTATTCTTAATTTTTTTGCTAAACACTATATGAATTCTATTAAGCGCAATAATTTAAGGTATCAAAAAGTTGTAATTAAGAAATGAATTTTTTATTTCAATTCAAATCAAAAGGTAAAGAATGATAAGAAGCTTCTAGTAATAATTATTATTTGTTTCATTCTTTTGCTATTTTTAAAATTTTTTTTTCGAGCTTCAATTTATCACTAAATTTCTCATATTATTTATTCTTAATATGTCTGTCCTTAATATCCATTAAAATATTATTCATTAAGCATTTATGTATAAATGAAGTAATAATAAATTTCGCATAGTAAAACAGTTTCATTAGAATAATTTGATCGGATATTTGTATGTAAATGCATTCATTCCCCTTCTATATCATTGTGTTATTAATTGCAAATGATTTTTTATAATAGTTTACATATGCAACAATAATAAATATACATACATAAATTGAATTTCATGCCAACTTTAACTTATTTTTTAATTATAATATATATCAAGCATTCATCTGAAACATAAAAAATGATAAGAGAAAGCTTAGAAGAAGAAATAATTAAATTAATTATAAAATAAAGAGCCAATTTAATATGATTGATGTATGAAATTTCATCCAATTAATTGAAATTTAATTGCATTTGATTGATTACATTGTTAAGTAATAACAAGTGGTAAGTTTAATGTTTCTCTTTTTTCATCGATCCAATTTTTTCCAAATGTTGTTTGATCGTTAAACGAGAAAAGAGTTTCTTTTTTATGACATCTTAGTGAAAGTTTTAGATAGAAGTTTGTTTGCATTTCTTTCTCTCTTATATACAACTTTACATTTATGCATACATATTCTTTTCATATTTGCTAATGTCATCTGATGTCACCACATGATATTATTATCATTTGCTAATATCATGAATCATATGCATATAGTTGATGGTTCGTTTCCAATTGAGGATTTTGTAAATTTGTTTTATCAAGCACCATCCATTCAAATATATCTTATAGGAAATGGCAAGTTCAGAATATGAAATGATTAAGTTTGTAATTTTTATTGCTTGAAGCTTTTTACTTCTTATTCTTTGATTTCATGCATTGTTATATGGCATATTTATAATATGAAATTTATTTAATAATCTTAAATTGCAATTTATTAAGTAAATCAATTTTTACATTATAAAATTAAAACTTCAAGCTTAATTAATAATTTGAAAAGTTAATTAATGATCTGAAAAGTTAAAGAAACTTTTGCATAAAAAAAGAAAATTTTCTCTTTGATGAATTGCAAAATTTCAAAATTACTTTAATAATGTAAAAATTGATTTGCTTAATAAAATTCATTTCGGAATCGAAAATTAAAATATTCATTACATTAATAAAATATATTAATCAATGAATTGAGAAGTATACAAACTAATATATGTTGTGATGTGATGTTTATAGTTTCAATTTCAAGTAATTATTAGAATTGAATGTTCGGAAATTTTGGATTATATAATGATAAATTTTAAATGAAAGTTTTGAAGATAACGAACAAATTTTCAAATACTATGGCGACAATTAATCCACAATTAAAGGATGTTGGAACGAAGCGTGGAATGGAAATATGGCGAATTAAGGTTTTATTATTATGCTTATTACAATTCTCTTATTGTCTTTAAGGATTAATGCTTCTTACAATTCTGTTAATCATTAATATCTATCTCATTTAGAGAAAAGTGAACATTTTTACATAATTCATTTTTATCTTTTTATTTTTAAAAGAACTCAAATTCCAGGATGGACAGATAAAGCAAATTCTGTCGGACAGAAAATTGAATACTAAGTTGTTTAAGCGTAATTTTTTACATCTTTGCATAAAGTTCTGATCTTTTAAGAATTTTGATCTGGAAAAAATACCAAAGGAACAATTCGGTAGTTTCTACTCCGGTGATTCATATATTCTCCTTTATGTAAGTCCATTTTTATTTTGATATAACTTTTTGAATAAATATTATTAAAAAGATGAGATGCTCATAACTATTGAGCTCATTCTTCCTGAAACTTTGTGCTAATTAATGAAATTAATTGAACTTAAACGTTTTGAATTAATTAGGGACAATCAATTGTTACCTAAAAAACACGATTTATTTAGTAAAATTTAATAAATTTATCATTTTGAGCTTTAGACAAAAAATCCAGGCGAATGGAATATTCATTTTTGGCTGGGAGATGATACAACTCAGGTTTGTTTATATTTTAATTAAGCTTTTTTTTTTAATTGAACGATGATAGAATATCAGTAAGTATTTCTTACTTGTTCCCTTCTAATTTGAAAATTCTTATCATATAAGGATTTTAAGCAAAGTAAACAATTTGGTAGCATCTAAATTTTGGAATATGAAATTATCGAGTAATTTATTTCAATATAAAGTATCCATTCCATTTCATTATTCTCATTTAAAAATTTATCATTGCACTTATCATACATAGTTTAATCACAATGAAAATTTTCTAGTTAAAAGCTTTAACGCAAAGTATATTTTGAAGGTTTCAGGATGAACAAGGAGCAGCAGCAATTCTGACCGTACAAATTGATGATGCACTTAAGGGATTACCTGTACAATATCGTGAGGTATATTATCATTTATGATTTGAAATTTTTCTTTCTTTTTCAATTCAAGATTTAATCGAACTTAAGAGTTAAAAAAATTGCATATCTTTATAATCATTTCATTTACCGTACAACAAATTTATTCAAAAATTTAACCAATCTTGACTAGTTAGATTAATTACTTCTTTTTTTGTCCTTTTTAATTGTGGAAATATTCGGTGTTGTTAAAATTGATCGTATTTTAATGCATCTTTAGGTTCAAGGACATGAGTCATCGCTGTTTTTGTCTTATTTCAAGGATGGCGTACGGTAGGTGCAAAATTTTTAGGATCATTTTTATACTGAAAATCTTTTAAATGATTTTCTAATTAACTATCATACCTTGTTACAATTTCTAGCAATGATCAATAAACTAAGCAATATCTATCGCATAGATAATATTGTTGACCAAAAGTTATTTAAATATTAATTTCGCATGCTTTGATCACTTAAATAATACACGAAATACACTCATCTCTTTTTAATTTTGCTAAAGTAATTTAAATATCTCATTCCTTTTATTCATTCTTGGAATGTTTCATATAAATTTCGATCTTTTCAAAAAAGCATATGCTAATTTAAGGTAATGATGAATTTTGTGAACTAAGAGAGATACTGAAGTGAAATTAGTTGAATTATGAAAATGCTTAGAAGCATCAGTTTTAAGTTCTTACGTGAACAACTGCATGCATTTTTCCATCTGAATAATATTTATTATAAATACCATCTAAATATGCAAATAAAGCAAGAAAAAGAGAATTTAATGATGTGTTTGCATTTTGCAATTCGGTGCATGCCAGCAAAAAGAAGTTTTCATTTAGTAGTCAATTGCTATTTGAAAAATGAAATTATTTCCGAATTGTTTTAAATGAATTTTATAAAATCAGAAAATCTTTTCAAATGTTTTAGATATATTTAATATTTCGTTTTTTCAATCAGTCAAAAAGAAAATTAATAACAAAATTGATTTACTAAAGAATTCAATAAATTTACAAAATCATTCATTCATTGAATTCGCATTTGATCGTATCGTTTAGTCGAAGTGATACTACCTAATCTAACTTTCTTTCATTTGTGAAAATTTATTATACTTTTAAATTATCATGACAAAATTCTCGAAAAACGAATGTTATTAGAATTATGTAATACATTGAAGTTATTTTATCATCATGGTGAAAATTAAGAATTTTACAGTTACCTGAAAGGAGGGGTATCGTCTGGTTTCACACATGTCACAGACAAATATGAAAATTGGAAACCAAAATTGTTTCATTGCAAAGGAAAGCGAAATGTGCGATGCAAAGAGGTGAATTATAATTACATTTAAAATTTATAATCTCTCACAATTCCATCTATCTAATTGCTTACCTTTCTTTATTTATTTCACCTAGCGATAATTGGTGCTTTTGTCTTTAATTTTGTTAAAAAAAACATTCGTTTAGGAATTTATGAAAAGGTAAAAAATAATTTTTATTAATGTAATATTTATATTTCGTTAGACTATTTTATAATTTTCTTCATCTTTCTTTTATTTATTTATTTGCATAAAAAATTGAGGTGGAATGCAAAGGAGAATCATTGAATCTTGGAGATGTTTTCATATTGGATTGTGGTTTAAAAATATATGTTTGGATGCCACCTGAAAGTGGAAGACTTGAGAAAATAAAGGTAAGTAAACTTTCTGAATTAGAAAATATCATAATAGTTAAATTACTTTGTGGAAAATACTTTCTTCAAGTTTTTATATATATTAATTTTGATCATAAGATAAATTTTAGGGAATGGAACAGGCAAGAAAAATTCGTGATCAGGAACGAACTGGAAAACCTGAAATAATAATTCTCGGTAAGGGCTTGTTGTATAATCTAATTAAATTCTTCTATGATAGAAAATTCGGGTTTCAAACCATTGCAGATGAAATTTCAAATTAACGGCACTGCTAAAAGTGTAATGATCAGTGATCGTTGAAGTACCATTGATTATCAATATGTTAGGATGATAAATAACGTTTCAAATGGCTTTTGCCGCTTTTCTATTTTTGATTTTTTAATGCAACAGAATAATTGCATAAATTAAGTAAAAATTTGGATTTTAAAAACGAAAAATAATATAAAAAATAAACTTACAATATATTTTTTAATTTAATATCTTTTTGTGGAAAAAAATTTTTGATTTAAAAGAAAATTAGAACGATTCAATGTGAAATTTATAAAGCATCAAAACAGCTGGAAGTTATCCAATGCTTATTATCGATTAGTTTTAGTGGAAGCCATCGGAATATTGATTAAAACTAAAATATCATTTATTTCTATAGATTTAATCACCAGTTTGCGTTTTTGTCAGATAATTTTACAAAGAGAAATGATTTTTCAGATTCTGATTGGGATAGCAACAATGACTTTTGGAAGATTTTGGGTGGTAAAAAGAAAGTTAAGCCAGCAGAAACCGGTGGAGAGGATGAAAATTACTGGCAGGATATTAACAATCAACTAACTCTTTGGAGGTTTTTTAAATGGCTTAATTACTTGGAATCCTATAAATTATTAATTAGAATCAACTCGAACTAATTAGAATAGCTTAATTACTTGGAATCCTATAGATTAATTAAAATTAATTAAAAAAATCAATTAATTAGTATGGATTTTGCATGCAAAACTGCGTACTCTTAAAATCAGAAGATAAACTTGAAATTTCGGGAAAAAATTCACGAAAAATTTGAAAAGAAAAACTAAAATTGTGAAATCATTGAAATAACTTAACGAATGATTTCACAAAACGATGTTATTTGTGATCAAAAAACTTGCAGTAGGAATATTTTTCCAACTAAATTGACCAAATTTTAAGTCAAATAAATTCTCATAATGGAAATAAATTTCAGAGTATCAGATGAAAAGGGCAAGATGAATGTCACGATGGTTTCGAAAGGAAATTTCCAGTACAATCAACTCGAGTCAAAGGTTAATCAGAGTTTTTTCCTAACTCATTTGCATCCATCACAAGTTCCACCATTTGTAAATATAAATAATAAATAAGCTGTGTTGCTTAATACATTCAACTTTCAAAAAGTCAATTTCTCCTAAATTTAATACTACTGATCGATTATTTAGGATGCTTTCATTTTGGATACCTGTAATAGTGGAATATATGTTTGGATCGGAAAAAATTGTACGCAAAATGAACGAAAAAAAGCTATGACATATGCGAACAAATATATTGAGTTACAGGTTAGATTCTAGAACTGATCGTTCATTAAATATAAAGTTATTTTCGTGGAAAGTAATATGGAAGCATATAAATATTGTATATTAACAATAATATTTAAAATGATTTCCAAAATCGATTTCACTAATTATTTAAAGTTATTTTTGTAGTATTATTTGTAATTTTTAAATCATTTTGAGTTTTGTGTCAGCATATTTGTAAGCAATTTCATTTTTATAATTTTATTATTATTATCATTATCATTTCTCTCTTTCTTTCTCTTTGAATGAATATTTTTTCAGAAGAAATCAAAAAACGCACAGGTGATACGAGTTTTGGAAGGTGCTGAACCGATAGCGTTTACCCAATGGGCCAGTGCCTGGGAGAATCCCAAGAATATACCGCAATTCATCCCTAAGCTATATCAGTGCAGTGATAGGAATGGCAGACTAACTGTTGAAGAAATTTATAATTACACACAAAAAGTAAATGAATTCGATAAATAAGTATTATGAGATGAAATTGAAGTAATAGTTTCAAGAAATAGTAAATTCATGAAACTGAGAAGGAACAATGTGTTGTAAAAGTAAAAGATAAGGTTAATCTATTAGTCTTGAAAAATTCTTTTTCTGGAAAATTGTTAAAACCAAAATAGTTGTTAACTCTATTTTAAAATAAATTAAGTTAAACATATGGGAAAATAGGCTCGTTGTTATATTTGTTAGTTTGAAAAGTTTAGGATTGTATTAATTTATAAATTTACCTGCATTTTCTTATTAAAACCATAGCCTTTAAATTAGATGAAAAAAAGATGAAGTTGAAAAAGGAGAAGTTTTAAGGATTTGGATGGCGATGATGTGATGATTTTGGATGCTATGAAAGTTATTTATGTATGGGTTGGTACGGGCGCTAATAAGAAGGAAAAGGAGGGCGCTAATGACGTTGCTAATGTTTGCTTTAAGTCTTTCTTGCAATTTAAAATACTTTTATTAATTCGTAAAATGTATCGCTTCCAAAAATCATCAAGTTAAAGTTTAATAATATTGCCAATTAAATTGCTCGCAGACCTAATAGTCGGAGGTGATATTAATTAAGAAAAAATATAATAGAAAGAAAATGAGAAATGATTTTTGAAATCATTTATTCTAATAGGTCAAATATTGATAAACGAATCTTAACTATTACTCAAACAATTTCCAGCTTCAAAAATTATGATTAAGCGCGAAATGATGCATTTCTCAAAAGTTTCATGCAAGTGAGAAAATCCTATGTAAAGAATTTATCAACTAAAGATTTCACTAAGGCCTAACCATGAACTTTTTTTTAGACCTGTAGAATGACTGTACATTGTAAAATGTAAATTAAAAATTGCTCAGGCAGATTTGGAACAGATCTGATCCACAATACATCAATCAATCTGCGACCAGCAACCTCATCTCATATAACGATTCAACAGATTATTTGCATGACCTTAATAATCCTTTTAGACGAAATGATTTTAATTTGAAATAAGTTTTCCTAAAAAATAAAGTCTTTCTTTTTTTTTATAGAAATATCTACAAGGTGACATACTTCCACGCCCGGCTGGAACTCAAATTGTGCTTGTGATGCAAGGTAAAGAAACACCTGATTTCAAAAAAATCTTCGATAAATGGGACGATCGTATCGCCGTAAGATATTTCATTAATTCTGATCAATTGCTAAATACAGAAATAAAAGAGCATTAAAAATTATTATTCCAAATATTTCAATTTTCCTGTTATTTGTTTGTTTTGAGCGAAATCATATAATTTTTTCAAAATAATGCTTTAAATCCAATTATATCTTTATTAGGCTGGTCAAACTGTGGAGGCCATGAAGAAGAATCTATAACTCAAATGCAGTTTCATTTCAATTATTCGTATATGATGCTAATATCGCAATATGAAGTTTTTATTTAGAACAGCACTTTTTAACTTCTATCAGTTCTCATTTCAGCAATCATTTATCAGTGATGTTATCTAAATCATTTTTCATTGCCTTAAGAAATCAATTTTTGAAAATATCACTCAAAAAAAAATTATCAAATATATTTGGCGAATATCATCTGATGAATTATTACAATGTTATAAATTATGCAAATGAATTTCAATTATTTTTTGACTTTTAGTTGTAAATTTAACTTTTTAGTTGTAAATTTTAGTTGTAAATTTAGTTGTAAATTTAACTTTTTACTTACATAGTTTTTTGAAGTTAATGAAATTTTCGATGTCATTGAGAATTGGATTATGATAAAAACTTATATTTGGATAAACAAGGCATCTTCTTATGTCTTTATGATTTATTCTGGATTTTATCTGGTCGATAAATATTATTTGTATCACACATTTATTTATAATCCAACCCTATCTGTAAAGCTATAAAGATTATGTAAAATTCATATCGCCAGAATTCAATTTTCAAAATATGAATTCATTTTATTTGTGCGAAACATTGAAAGATTGTTTCTTCAACTTTTAACATGCAAGGTTTCTACTTCTAAGTATTGCATTGTTCTGTAACAATTAATGCAATAACAAAATGGATTTTAAAATAAATAAGCACTATAGAAATTTCATCGCAATTTAGTCTCAAATAAAAGAATGAAAATTCCTTTATAGATATAAACTATATGAATAAGAATAAGGTGAATAAGATGGTCAGTTTACAGATTACTTAAAGTTAGTTTGAAAATAAAACATTAAATTTTGAACTGAATGACATTCCAACACTACATGATGAAGAAATGTTTGGATTAATAATGACATGATATCATGTCAATAGAATTTGAAGTTTCGTTTCATCCCTACGTTAATCAAAATGATCTGATAAAATGGATAGGTCATCACCTAAGTAGCACATAGGAAGCGATTTTATGGTTGGTCTGATATTACGCGCGGTTGATAGTGAAAAAAGATTGATGAACAGATGTTTTATTGTTAATAACATTCAAGAATTTAAAATTTTGAAAGATATGATGGATCTTTTAGAAGTATTAAGATATACCACAACAAGTTGTTACTTCTGAAATCTTTAAGTATTGTCATTTACCGTCAGGTCATTATTTTTTACATAATTGATAAACAGATATCGAGCAATGGCAATCCTTCGGAATATAATTTTTTGAAAAATCACATCGATCAAGTTTTTTTAGATTCATCTCTTTTATCAGGCAAAACATTTTCTCAGCTTCAGGAAAATTAGAACTGCCAAATTAGCTGATAAATTTCAGAAAGAAATGAGCATTTACAAGGACATCATGAAATTCTTTTCAAATTTCATCGAAACAAGAATGATTCATCACTAAGGTGTTTTCATCACCAATTATCAGTTCTTTATTTTTCATTAAAGAAATGTATTATTTTGTTTAAAACTCGAAATTTGTATTTTATGATAATATTGTCTCAGAGTTGAATTTTTTAAATATACTGATAACATTTCATTTTCTCTAGATTGCTTTTCTTTAGATTAAAGCAATTACCCTGACAACTGCATAATTGCTTTAATTGCTTTAATTTACATAATTGCTACATTGATGACATTAAAGTTTGAATATTAAACGATTATAACAATTACAATAGCAGTAGGTTTAAATTCATTCGAAGTTTCACCAGTCTTGATCGTGATGCTGGACATTGTTGAAAGATGTTCTACAAAAATTTATGCATACGGTAGATGATATTCAATGAATCATGCAATGTTATGGTTTTGCTGGAAAGTATATGGAGTGGACTCAAAATAGAGCAATCTACTATTATGACTCGGTAAAAAAAACTAATGAAACTACTCTAAAAACTAATAACTCTTTCATTTTGAGCATTATCAATACGTATCAATAACCATAATTATATATATATATATATCCATAATTTGCAGATCGCAGATTGAAGATAAATTAAAAGTAATGCTAGATGATCAAACGAAAATATATGGAAACCGGAAAATGATGAAGAAATAATGAATTAGACTCCCTTATCATGTTATCACCCAAAGATCAAAAAATATTGTATTTTTTATCATTAAGCTTTTTGCAGCTGTAATTAATTTGTAATGTTTTGTAAACCAAAAATTTAATTGCTTAGGTTTATATATATTAACGATTATATAACGAATTGATTATAATTAAATGTTTTTATAATTTATGTAAAGAAATTTGATTTTGATACTTCGTCAAATTAAGTAAATAGTGGTTGTCCGACAAAAAGCAAAAAAGTAGTGTTAAAGTAATGTAAAAAGAATTTAAGCAAACATTAGATAGTTGAGAGAATTAGTAGGAAAACCGGAGTGATTGGTTGAAAAGGAAGATCCGATCTGTAAATGCATCAAATCTCTGCTTGGCAGAGAAAAACGGCATCGAATAATTTTAAAGGTAGTTAGTTCCCATCTTGCAAGGCAAGAATGCAATTTTTCGTACTTTAAATCTTACAAACTAAGATTGTGTCGAGAGATTTCATTGTTCTAATAATATTTTAGAACAATACATCAATTAACAAGATTGTTTCAATAAACTTAGTATATTGGTTGATGAATTTAATCGGTATAGCTCCAAGGATAAGCTTATTACTTCTTGTATTATAAAAAGTAATATTTACATATGTTGAAATCGATATTACAATAGCAAATTCCCCCATTACGGTAATTATTACCCTAATTATATAGCAAAAAAATTATAAATTCAATGTCATCTCGGAAAATTTGATAAAATATCGGCGCAATAAAGCAACTTTTTTTGTTTTATCCTTTACGGAACAATTTCGTGGATGCATGCTATGTTAGTTTAGCAAAATTTTAATTTCAATGAAATTTATAAAATTAAAATTCATGTACGAGAATTGAACTTCTCATCAATTGTATTTCCGTATCACATTGTTGACAGTCATTTGGGTTAAAGGGAATTGTGAAAATTGCAAAAATTATTTCTCAAGTTTAATTTATTTCTATTCAATATTGACATATTTGTTCATTTATCTTTTGCATATGTTTGGTGAATTTGTTCATTTAACGAATAATTTCTAAAGAGTGAACTAAATAGTTATCGGTTGGTTTATCAATAACAAAGACTTCTTTCAATTTCTGTATTTCATTCATTCTGTATCCTTTTTATTGTCAACTTATATCGGAAACCTGAAATTGCTTTAAAATATGAAATTATTTACATAATTAAAGCATGCTTGCAATTTATCTTAAATAAATTGTTTATTACAGATTCTTAGCAATTTTTACCATAATTTCTTGTTATGTGATAAAATATGTCTTATTCACTATTCCATGAAGGTCGTATTAACGACTAATGTTATTTGTTATGTTTTAAAATAAGATAAGCTTTATCTAATCTCTTGATGTACAATTCTAGGAGTACTGTCCATAATTGTTATTAAATGATTTTATGATTCTTTGTTTACTACCAATGCCTTCTACTAAATAACCAATTGTTTGCTTTACTATAAACAGTGTTGAGAATCACCCAACTTGAAATATATATAGCATCTTAATTACTTTAACGAGATTTTTGTTTTGATAATCTTATCATTGACATTTTTTTGAACTAATACCTCAACGGAAAGTGTTAAACTATTCTTCTCCCACATCAGCAGCAAATAAGAATAACATAGTGATCGATCTAATTGTAATATTTCTGATAATTATATTTTTATTGTTTCACTGGCAACATCCAGTTGATACAATACCCCAAATCCGTTCATCCACCGTTTCAGTGAGATTAATCAATACAACGAACATGCTGTAAGCTTTGCTTTTCATTATGATCACATCAAAATTGAGTCAGTATTTTAGGTTTCAAGAGCTTTTTAGGTTTCGAGACATGTAGGAAATGACCAAATTTAAATATAATTCATGGAAATCATAATAGAAATTACGATCATTGCATCTGTTTAATGTGTTAGAAGTTTTTTCTTGTAAGACGTGAGAGGCTATCGAGACATTTTGAAGTAAACTTATTACACACAAATGATCCTTACTTTAATTCTCATTCAAATTTATTTGCTCACTATTTGAATGCCCATTGGTTTAGGCTGTTTACTTTCCACCGATTTTATTTCCTCGTACTACATAGCTATTTTCTTTTTCAATATTATAATAAAATATTAAATTCGATAGTAAATTGGAATAAAAATCAGTAGAATATTTAAATGAAATATTATGCATAATACTTGAAATATATGTATGGTTACAAATTCATAATTTCCACCTGCAATAATTTGTATCTGAAAAACAATTAAGAATATATTAAAATAATAAGCATTCAGAACCAAATAGTTTATTGGAAGAGTAGAATACATTTAGAAGTTACAGTAGTGGGACGTCGGCTTTCTTCATAAAGCTTTTATTGACCTCATCTAACACGTACTGATTCGTCAAAAATTTGTGTAATGAGTTCATTATCTAAATCGTTTGATATTATGGTATCACTCTTTCGGGAACAAGTTAAATTGCTTTAGTAAATATGTTACCGGTACAACCTTACCTGCATGCGATAAAAAAGATAATCTGATTGCAAAAAAATTGATTTTATCAAATATATCCGGATTTCTGCTTCAAATTTTGTGTTTACGTTTTCGGAAAATTCCCTGTGATACAACATTTATATTTATTGGTTATTTCGACACTACTGAACAATACTTTAAAGATTCAGTTCAAATATCTTTAATTTACGTAATTATATGAAGTTCGTTTATAAATGAAAAGATGT